ACTTATTCGTAATCCTGAGAGAAGTATCCATGCAAATGCAGTATCCATGCGTGTAGAAGGAGGACAGTTGCAGACAACTGTGGTAAATGTGACAGCTGATAAAGACGGCTCCAAAAAATGTTGTGAATTTTGAAAAATCGAAATCAACTCGGCACTTGCTTATGATCCAACCTGATATTTTGAGTTACCTACGAGGTTAGGGCGGAAGTGGTGTAGTGGCAAGTGGCACGCTTACCACGCGAGCGGTCCGGGGATCAAATCCTGGGTCGTGAGTCGCCCGGGCCAACCAAGCCTTCCATCCCTCCGGGGTCGGTTAATTGGTACCAGACTTGTCTGGGAGGATAAAAACACTGACTTGTACATCGGCTGGCCCCCGCAAGTCATTGTATAGGCCACATCGCATTCAAACGCCACTACGAATGTACAAATGGAAGTAGAATGCGTGCCGCATCCCAAAAAGGGATTGATCAACGGCAAATGCTTTATCCTTTTATCCTTTTATCAACGAGGTTGTTGTTTGTTTGCACCCCAGCAGCGCAGTAAATCCCCTCAGTGATGTTCCTCTGTCTGTAGCACAACTAATAAAGCAGGAAGGTGTATGGAGATTTTGATAGCTTAAGGTTCACAGCAAATCCCTAAAATGGGTTGAAACACGGATTTCGCTCGATTGTCTTCAGAAAAGCCACGCCGCGGCGATGCAGTGAAGTGCTCGCGCGCACCGTCCCAGTAAAACTGAACGTTATCAAATCGTGTCTGCATCCGCTTATCTCAGAGCGGTGATTTAAAGTGTGCTGGCTGAAGAGCTTCCAAGTGCTCTTAGGCACTTTTTATTTTACCCTTCAATTTCCTTCTACGCAAATACTGACAAATTGAGTTAACTGTGTTTTTCCCAAATTTCAAGTAAAAGAAGTCAATTAGTCAACTGTGGATTCTTTTCTATTATAATTATTTATGGCTCAAAATAAACGGTCCCGGACGAGCATCAAATCAAGTGATCGCGAAAGTGCCGCGGTATTCCAAAGCGAACAGCCACGAGGATCGCGCTTCGCCGACACGTGAGCCTCGGCACCGGCGCCCGATTTTGCACCTATGCATCCTTGCTCAACAGGCCCTACCGTGATATAACTGATTACACCTGGGTCAGGTGAACGCTGTGAGCACAACTGGCCAATAGAACAGCCTATGTTTTTCATGTTTGCTAAAATTCCTTGCAAACGCTTCTGTTAGGAGCAAAATTGTGCTATAGCACCGTATACAACCAAGCAAGCAGAAATGTTTATTGATTATAAATACAGATCGGCTATAAACGAGATATGAACACGTATAAAAAAACGGAGGAGTAGCACAGAAATCTTTTAGAGATCGCAAGAATTCGGTCGCTCACAAGAGGGGCTCTCGAACAATAGCTGTTGAGTACCTGGTTTCACGATAGATCTAGAGAAAAAACATGACCAGCAAATCGCCGCGGGGTTCAAATTCGGTATTAGGGTCAGACAAACAGAAAGGTTCTGAAGGACATCTTCCTCAATGAGATATAATCAGATGTCTCCTCGAATGTACCTCCACAAATCGTTCAGTGAGACCTTCTTGTGCTTGAAGTTACACCCTGTCCCAGCACACAAGAATCTGTTTAACTTCGCCCTACCCTTCTTGAATCGAACGAGGTTCCCCCAACTAAAGGGAACAAACGAGGGGCGAAATGCGTCAACTGGAACCCTTTCCATTCTTCTGAGAGGCTTCAGCACTATTTACCGTTTACTGCCCCACATCTCGAGAACTTCCGACTCGGATTCTCGACGACTTTTATCCATGACTGCAGATTTGGCTAAGAACTTGCCTCCAGGGGTAGCTCGACCCGTAGAACGTTCGGCGCAGCGCCAGACCTATTCGCGAACGAGATTAAGATACTCCCAGAGACGACGATAGTCAACTTTTTCGTCATGGACACATTTCGATTGAAATTCGGTTCACTTTTTGACGACTGAGTCAGTGGAGGGTAAATAGGACCGAGGTTTCTATTGATAATCCGAAAAAGGCAAACATTTTGTGGTTGCCTGTGATGCTGCGATCCCTCAGGTAAAGTTAATGAACGACATTGGTTGGCCGTCGTACCTGGTTGTGGGGAAACCCCGACAACCCCTTCTTGAAGCAGCTGACGCAAATAGCCAAAGCTCTGTACAGAATTGAGCTCTTAAAGGGATTGAAGAAATCCCCGACGGGTCCATAGCTCAATTGTTGCCTAGCAATACAGGCGACGTCGTGGCAAAAGTGATTATCGTGAGCCACGCAGCTGAAATTAGTTGTTACCACGGAGTAATTGGCATTCCCTTCCATAAATGAATCGACAACAAATTTTGCGTTCACAAAATAACAAGCCGTTCCTAGAGAAAAAAATCAAATAGAAAATTCAAGTATTCCTAAGGTCTTCTCTAAATACACTCATTGAAGCGATTACTCGCTCATCCCATCAGTCAACAGCCAAGCAGCGACTGTTAAAGTGACATTTTGTTGAAAAAGAAGAGATAGATCGGCAAAAGCAAATCTGACTGGAAGCAAATCAAACACGATGCTACAAAATCACGAATACAAGCTTCGTTCAAGAAGCTCCTTCCCTAATATGTTCTTTGACCACTTTCGAGTAGTTTTATTTCTCTCGCGATGTTCTCTCTGGCCCGAGCCTCAAGATCCGCTCGCAACTCTTTCGTGGCATAGATATTCGGGATTTGGAGGAAAAACCGGAGCACCTGTAAACAACACTTGAACTCTTCATAGGTGTGATGCGAAATAGCTGGAAAAAATTGTAAAGTTGTTAAGAGGATGCTGAGTTATGGGCTAGTGCAATATTCTACCGATGTTTCTAACTAAACGATCATATCAAGCATGTAGCCAGGACGGCGCTATTGCAAAATGCGGGACATTGTGGTGGCATGCATTTAAGACAACATAAACCCTCTCTTTTGTGTTGAAATCGGTACTAACGATAAGGTGATCCTAGGACGAGGAAAAGCGAGTCCAGGACGCGTGAGCAATTTTCATTTCCCGAAAGTTTCTTCCCCTTCCTACTTCCTAGGCTTGGTCTTAAAGGATGCTCCCGTATCATGTGATAGCCCCGCGAGGACTAGGATATGATGTTTTCTTTGAACGCAGCGCAGACATTGGACTATGGTCTTGAAGAAATTCGTAGCAGATGGCGGCTCGCAGACTGCCTCGATCATTTGAGGTTGTCGCACGCCTCGATTCGCAGCTTATGGTTAGGCAAGGCAATTTTGCCCATCAACATCTTCAAGATTACCTTCGCATCGCTAATTGCCGCAAAAACAGTGGTAAGCGAAGAAAAG